ATCACACAAAAAGGAACCCCTTTCCAAAACGACATCGCATGGGGGTATTTATATGCCAAAACGGCCTTCCAAGGCCTCGCTCCTCTCATTTTTCAGATTTCTATTCTCTCTCTTTAAATGAGAGAATAAAATTTTCTCTCATCTCTCTCCTCAGCTCTCTCGCTTGAGGGGTGGTCGGCCCCCGTCTAATGCCACCGACCGTCGCTGCCGGACGCTACTAAACCCGAATCACTCAAAACACTCCTCTACACCATGTAAACCCAAAACCGGAGCCAAAATCCCACAAAGTAGCCCCAAAAAACGTAGATCTACACCCAAAGACCCGATTTTTACCTTCGACGGCGTGTCTTCTTGGCTTCCCGGGTGCTCTTCGGTTGTGTTCGACTGTATTGTTTCTTTTTTTTTTTTTACGTTTGTGGTGCTACTTTATTTGTATTTACTTGGGGCTTGGCTTTGGTTCGACATTTGATGTTGTGTTTTGGTGTTGGTATTGTGATGATGGTTTATGGTTTGGCTTTGATGATTCCGTGTGTTTGTTGGCCGATGTTCCCTCAATATACTGTTGTTGTTTTTATGTGGCTCACTGTGATGGCTGTTAATGTTTGGTTTCTTGCGTTGATGGCCTTGTTTGTTCTCGGGTTCGATCCACTGTGGGTTCTTTGTAGTCGTGATGGTTGTTCCCCTGGTCACTGTGGTGGTGGGGTATTTATACCCACCACCAGTCGGAAAGCTCGCGTTGTTGGTGATTGTTGGCGTTCATGCTTCTGTAACCTCCTATGTGGCGCTATGACATGCTAATGTGAAACCCTAACTTGTTTGGTTCTCGGTTACAGGCTGGGTCAGGCCCAACTATCTCCAAACCGGGACTTATTGGACTCAAAAATGGACCTGGACAATAAAATGAAAATAAAATTAATAAAAAATAATTAACAACGATAATAATAATAATATTGCTATATATAAAATATTTTCCAAAAACTATATAATATATATTTTCAAAAGTATTTTAAAATTATATATTATTTATTTTAAAAAATGTTTTCAAAATTATATAATTTTCAAAAATGTTTTCAAAATTATATAGTTTTCAAAAATGTTTTTAAAACTATATATTGTAAGTTTTCAAAATGATTTCAAAACTATATAATATATATATGTTTTTCAAAATATTTTTTAAAAACTATATATATTTTCAAAATGTTTAAAAATTATATAATATATATTTTCAAAAATGTTTTAAAAATTATATAATATATATATTTTTAAAAATGTTTTAAAAACTATATATTATATTTATTTTCAAAATATTTTAAAAACTATATAATATATAAATGTTTTCAAACATGTTTTCAAAACTATATATTATATGTATGTTTTTAAAAATGTTTTTAAACTATATATATATATATATGTATATATAAAAAATAGGACGAAAATGAGTGTCTCCAAGAACGTTACTGACAAAATTAGGAATACAACAGGCTGAAGTAACAGTTGTATGGTGTGATAACACCAATGCCATAGCAATGAGCGCCAATTCTGTATTTTATGCATGTTCCAAGCACTTTGAGTTAGATATGCATCTTGTGAGGAGAAAGTTATTAATGGTTCGCTTCGTGTTAACTATGTTCCAGCTTCTTACCAGACTGTTGGTGGACTCACTAAACCCTTGTCGAAGACGTTCTTGTCATTTCGTCAGCGAGTCAAAGTAGCTGAAGGAGGTGAAAACGAGAGAAGTAGGGAGAATGTTGAAGGTTAGACTACCAAGCAATTTGTTGCAGCTTACATCATTTGTAGTTAGGCTGTTAATGAGAGGTTGAGGTTGTTACAGCTGTTAGGTCAATTGATGTAAGCCCACGTGTATTTTGTGATAGTTGAGCTAGTTTCTATAAAAGACTACTCAATTCTTAATAAGAGTGATATACAAGTTTACCGAGTCTAATTCTTAATCTGCTTCTTTCTTATCTCTAAAGAACTGTTAACCCTAGTTCTTTAACAGGTTCGATCCTTGTGAAGAGAAAACAACCCAAATTTTTAACTAATAAAATGAATTCATTTTGATCTGTTTTTAGTATCAAAACAACCGAACCAAAACAACGTATTTTTGGTGCGATAGCCACGTAGGCAACCGTTAGTCATGTCATTGTCTCGTTACTGACTTAAGGATTGAATAACATAATTGATGTAAAACTAAATTTCAGTGCTATAATTGGAAAAACTGAAAATTTAATGGTATAAACGAGTCAATGGACAAAATTCAATGGTATCTGGTGTAATTTAACCTTATTAATTATTAATGATAGAAATTAAAAAAAAAAGTTGTGATTAGAATGCATTAGAAGCATTTAAAAACATCTCTAGATTGGAGTCATTGTTTTATACTATTTTGGTTGTCAGTGATTGGAGGGTGTGGCATGAACACAGAGGACCACTAGATGTATACATATCAGAGACATGACATTCTAGCCAAGTGTTTGGGCGAAGTTGTTAGCATAGGATGCATGCAGGTGGAAAGTAGGCATGGAATTTATTCTCAACTCAGAAGTTGCTTTGCTTCTTTTTGCACATTAGAAATGAACATGATCTATCGCTAGATGATTGATGGACTGTTTATGACATCAGAAATGATCATAATATTCTCCAAGGGAAGGAAAATTCAACGAAGAAACCAAAGACCTTGATGCCATTGCTAATGAGCCGACGAGGGGTCTAAGAATGTCTTGGATTGAAAGTAATATCATTCTCTCATCCAAATTGAGAATGAAATATGTTGTGTTATCCTCAAATGCATCAACAATCAGCGAGCCACTTGCTGTGCTTCTCTGCAAAGTTGGTAATATCATTTCATTCAAGGATCTATTACATTTGATCCGGTTATTATTTCATTTAAGGATCTATTACATTTGATCAGGCTATTGCACACGCAGAAACAACCTTGGGTACAGTTCCTTTCCATTTCTCTCTCTCTTTTATGAGATGATAATGAAGAAGAATGATATCAAATAAAAAACCGATGTGTTTTCCTATGTAACTCTACGTAATAGAATCTCACACAAGTAAAGTATGAGAAACATGTGGGTGATACTATTTGAGTTGAAGCAGAAGATAAATTTGCCCCCCAAGACGTTGAACTTGCAGATGTGAAACCAAATGTTGCAACATTTGATCCAACAATGCCCTAACTTTATGGATGGCTTACGGCATACCAAGTATTTGTTTATTTTTGCTTGTTTTGATGCTTGATGACTTTGATGATGCATCTGGATGGAGGGAGTTCCAATTGTTACAAGTCACATTCTTATTATTGTTAGAATGTTGGCAAACTTGACATGCAATTTATTTTGTTATTTGGTGTTTATTTTTATTTTAATAATATCAAAAATATAAGTTTCTCACTTAAGTTGCATATCATAAATCACTATTATAACATTTGTTATAATATTCATCAGGAACAATCTCGAAACCAGAGTTTTTCAGGTAGCATTAAATTTTCTAAAAGTTTCAGAGAGGAGTTAATAAACAACCAACAAGAAGGGAACAATAGTGTATTGATGATAAATAAACTGCTTGTTTAAGGAGGATTGAAATGCATCACTCAGATATTTTAATAGCCAGACTAGTCACTGATGTGGACAGTAAGGTGCCTTTCAATCGCCAAGAGAAGAGAATATGCTACAACACATAAATGCCGATGGAGACCATGAAACCAGATACTACACGTAAATGTTCGATAGAGAAAGCTAAAGAAACCAAATTAGGAGCTGTGTTCATAAAGCTAAAGATTCTTCAATTGGAAATGGAAGCTTCAAGCAGACTAAAATTACTCTATTTTCCTGTTTCATTGTGATAGGTTTTGGGAAAAAGAAATTAGCCATGGAAGTCTCTTGGTCATGAGGAAGAGCAGTCAAGATCAGTACTCCATCATTGTCTATGTAAAGTAAGGCCATCATTGGTTTTAGAAGAACAGAATCAAACCATGATTCCATTTAGAGCACCTTATCCTCCCCTCTTTATTCTTAGTCCCCACTTTTATGGAATAAATCTTCATGTTAACCTTTATGATCTTCCATTATAAATTTTGTGTATTTCATGCATGAATTCCTCAAACCTCTGCTTGTGTTCTTCCCTTCCTTAAACCTAAACAGTTCATATATATTTGCAGATTTCATATTGGTAAGGACTGGGTAATCTGCATCCTGAGGTTTATATCAACATATTTGTTTCATTGTTGAATGTAGTCCTTTGGGGTGCAGATTACCTCTTCCTCACTGGCAATACACAGTACTGAAATATACCACTGTAGTTTTCTCATATATATATATATATAAATGTATATGCATTCATTCTGTTTATGATGGTGAATTAATGATTCTTTAGTAAAAGCAATATCGATTCATCTGTTTTATATAACTGTACACACATTCATCTGTTATTTGAAGCTCAAAGCCAGAGAATCTTGATATTAAAATACGTACCCTGATTAGACATCATATAACAGGTTAAAATCGTCGAATCTGAAATGTTTTCAGAAAGGAGCATGAAAATATATAGAGCACGTGTACTTTGCATTATGCATAACATATATGTTTCCGAGCAATTAAGGAAGACCAAAAAAAAAAAACAACCGAAATTAAAATTGAATAGTTCCTTTCCTTTCTTTCACCTATGGGGTCTATGTAATATGTAGAAATCATAACAGCTAAAGGTTAACAAACTGAAATGGAATTGACTTATGAACCTGCTAGATACTCTTTGACCAGAAATCGAAAAACTGTAAAATAAAATTACAGGCGAAAGGAAAAGAAGTTCCTTGCGATTCAAAATTTCACTTTGAAGCCTCTTGAAAGCTTGAAAGAAACACCCAAGAAGAAAAAACAGATTTCAGAAACTTCCCAGAGGGTAAGAGAAAAACCCATTCTTCTTCTTCTTCAACAAAGAAACCGACAAAACACATAGACCCATATGTTTAACCTCTTTGTTATTTCTTTATCAGCCTTTTGTTCACCTTGGCCTCATAAGGAAGACGCTTAGTTCTTGCCCTGAACATTCATCTGGGTTAACAAGGTGAAACGACTCATAATCAGAGTTGCCAATAACATGCTCATAATTAGCTCTCATGTACATGATCTCCTCGGAATCAGACGACCCGAAACCGGCCGGTATCATCCCCGCTCCAACTGTTGTAGATTGCATGGTCTTTAACATAAGTCGGTTATGGTGGCTGGCTTTTCTTTTCGTCGCGAATCCTATTTTTCGACCATTACAGTGCATGGTCCAAATGGGGACCAAGTGGAGAGGACAGGAGTTGAGTTCGGATAGGTCGCACTCGAGGGCAATACGGACGATTCCAGAGCTCATTTCTTGGACGAGTTGTTGAGTTGGGATGGAGAGTTCAAGGAGGAGAGAGGGTTTTGTGGAGAGACGGTCGTGTTGGATGCAAAACCAGACATGACCTTTGCGTTGGCCGAAGATGGTGCCTATCACCATGGACCTGGAAGGGCGCGAGAAGGCTGGCAAAGACGGTTCGAGTTCCATTGTTGTGGTGGAATCTTGAGAGTCTCTGTCTTCTTTTGTATCGGTGTCGAGGTGGTCGTCTCGGAGGGAGGTGCTTAGGCGTTTCTTGATGGGAGTAGCGGTGGTGGTGGTGGGTGTGGTGGAGGAGGAGGAGGAGGCGGTTGTGGGCGTGAGACAAGGGAGGAGTCGACGGAGGACGTCGATCTTGGCCATGGGTTTCTTGGAGAAAAACAAATGAGTCAGAGAGATTTTGTTGCAGAGGTAGTACGTATCACATATTCAAGCATATAAATACGCGGGAAATGGACAGAGCCGTTAGAATTAGCTATTTGCCCTTCGTTGGTGACAAGTGCATGTGTCCCACGCGCTGAAACATGATATTTTTTTTAATTAGTACGGAGGGATTATAGAGTAGTAATTTTAAATTTTATTTTAATAATTATATATATATATATATATATATATATATATATATATCTTATAGACGTAGATGTTTAAATTTATCATGTCAAGTTAAATTAGTGTATGCCAAGATAATTGACTTAATATTAATCTTAGTCGAGCCGAAGCCTTTCGATGAGTAATATGCAGTATAATCATCGATATTTGATCTATTGATCGACTAATCAGATCGAATACTGTAGCAGCAAGAGCAACTCTCTTAACCCAGTTTGTTTCATTCGCAAATGTCAAGATTTGAATCATTAACCTTGCTTAAGGGATCTAGTGCCTCATACAACTAGATCTACCAATTGTTGGTTCCTCTTTATTTTGGGTAAACTGTGACCACTCAATTATGGTCAAAAATCATTTTGACCACTAATATTTCGATTTGATCAATCAAACCATCCAACTATTTAAATATTTCAATCAAGCCACCTGGCGTTAAAATTTAACGGAGTATGTGACGTGGTCGTTAAAAAATTTCAGTATAATTACTCAATTGGTCCTTGTAACTTATATATTCTTCCAATTTGGTCTTAATTTTAATAAATTAAAATAAATTTAACTATCAAATAAGGAGGTGCCATGTGTCATTGGGATACATGTCATGAAATTAGTCATCATTCGATTGGATGACTAAATTTATTGTAATTTAATTTAAATTTAATAGACTTATTTTCCACCAATCTGAGGAATATTAAGAGCCAAACCTAAACTAAGAGGAATTGAACCCAGGTGTCATGACAAGTGTCACTATTTGACACAAGGCACCTCTTGATTATATGGTTAAATTTATTTTAATTTATTAAGATTATGAACAAATTAAAAGAATATATGAGTTACATGGACCAATTGTGTAATTATTCCAAAATATTTTAACGACCATATCACCTACTCCGTTAAATTTTAACACCAGGTGGCTTAATTGAAGTATTTAAATAGTTTGGTGATCTGATTGATCAAATCGAAATATCGGTGGTCAAAATGATTTTTGATCATAGTTGAGTGGTCACCCGTGTAGTTTACCCCTTTATTTTCTAGTTTTCATGTTTATTTTATATTGGAGCATATTAAATTAAATATAGAAGGAATAAATACATGATTTTAAATTATAAAATATAAATATATACGTAAGATTTTAAATTACTTTACAAATATATATATATATATATATATATATATATATATGATCGATAGATATATGTGATCACAATACGTGCAAGTGCACACCTGTCGACTGCATAATAGTGATAGTCTTTCAGTTAAGGATGTCGAACTTACAGGGAACAAAGTCAATGAATTTAGGGGATGTTTGTTTATTTCATAATGATTAAGCGTTGAATTATTCAAATGCTGAATGATTTAGAGGCTCTGTATGAATTAGCGTTGAATGTGACATGATGTTTGATAATGGCTCTGAATCATTCAGAATGTACTTCTGTGTTGAATCATTCAGCACTATTTTGCTAAATCAGTCAGCACTGAATCATTCAGAGGTGAGAAACAAACAGTCTGAATGTTGAACGGTCTAATTCAGAGCCAAACAAACATCCCCTTACTATTTTAGATTCAGAACTGTAAAAGAGAAAAGAGATAAAAATTGATTAAGTTGAGTGTGGATATAAATAGAGAAAATAACCTCAGTGACCGAAAATGTCTTATAATATACGATTTTAACAAACTTTTTTTTGGATTTGCCAAAATGACCAACAAATTCGCAACGCGAACTCCAATTTCGCAACCCAGTTTCCAATTTCGCAACGCGAATATGTAAATCGCATTGCGATTTTCCAAATTCGCGTTGTGATTTTCCAAATTTGCAACGCGAATATGTAAATCGCAACGCAGAAGTTAAATTCACAACGCCATAGTCAAATTCGCAACACAAAAGTCAAATTCGCAACGCATAATTTCAAATTCGCAACGCGAAACACAATATTAATTTCGTAACACAAATGTAAACAGTATTATTGCAAATCATAACCTAAAACCCTAAATCACATCTCAGTCCCATCTTTATCTCTCACTCTCTACGGCGACATCCGTCCCCATCTCCGATGAAATCCGTCCCCATCTCCGGTGAAATCCGTCTATCTCCATCTCTCGGAGCAACCCTCACAACCATTCACGGTCAGAAATAGAAAATCAACCACCGAGGGTTAGTTTTTTAATCTCTTATTTTTATTTTGAAATTTTTGTATTATTATTAGATTTTTCTTACATTGATGATAAATTTATTGGTAATTTCAATATATATAAAGATTAACCATTTCACTGAGATTGCTTAGTAAATTCATTCGGTTGCTGCCAATACTGCTAAACTGTTTAGTCTTTAACCCTGTGAAGTTAGTATTTGTCTTTGTTTTTTTTTGTTGAAGAAATGCAATTCATTCAAGTTTCAATTTGCAGAAAATAGTTTTTGAAACTTAAATTCGCAACGCGAAAATGAAAATCGCGTCGCAACGCGATTTTAGTTTCGCGTTGCGAATTTAAGTTTTAGAAACTACTCTTATTTTGCAAATTGAAACTTGAATGAATTGCATTACTTCAACAAAAAGACTAAACAAAGACAAATATTAACTTCACAGTGTTGCTAATTTAAGTTTCAAGAATAAACTACTACTCTTTATGTTATCCTTGAACCTGCACTAAACCTATATGTTATCCTTTTAAATGTTTATATAAGTGCTTACTTCTGGAATGTTATTTGATGCATTTTGTGAAATATGATGGAATAATGACAACATGTTAATATCGTGCTAGTTTGAAACATATTTGGCTTTGTTTTCATTGTTTAATATCATGTCTGTTTATAGTGTATAATTTATAGTTTTTGGTATATCTAACTTGGTATGTTTATTGTTTTTGTAGAAATTTTTTTCTGCTGCATTAACCTTAAGGAATAAATTAAGCATAGCCACTAAAATTGCGTCGACACTTACACCTCTACAAAGAAAATTGTTTGAGGATACTTGCTTCGGGCCATGGCTGAAAGTACAACATACGGGTGTAGATGCTATGTTGACACATTTGTTTCTTCAGACCATGACTAACGATCTACCCGAGAGGATACAACATAGCTGATGTAGAAACAGTTGCATATTTAAAATCTCGAATGCGGTCTATTTGGTTCTCAAACATTTAAAGCATCAGAAGCATTTCAGACTTATGATTTGGGTGGTACTCGGAAGCATTTCGGACTTATTATTTTTGTTATTATTACAAGTTGTAGCCCTCAATTATTGGGATTTTTAGTTGCCATTTGTTGCATTTCTCGTATACCACCCAGATCATACGCCCGAAACATTTTTGACGCTTTAACTGTTTGAGAACCAAATGCATCACCATTGAGATTTTAAATCTGCAGCTGCTTCTACATCAAGTATGTTTAGCTAAGATAGTTTTGGTTTAGGGTTAAACTACCTCAGTGAGCTGACTGAAATGGATAATATCCGAAAGTCATTCTTCGGATATCCAATCTTCCTGCTTGTTAACAAAAAATTACGATGGTCGGGATTTCCCTCGCGTTTAAAGTTGAAAAAAAAACAATGGAAATTAGGAATAATCAATGATAACATGAATATTGGCTAAGTTATTTCATTGAGTAAGTTGTTTGGATGGAACAAAGGCTTGGGCTAATATTTATAGTGGAGCCGAAATTTATATTGAAATTCAAACTCAAATTGAAATTGAAATTCAAACTCCAATTACATATGAAATGAATTTGAAATGCAGTGTTAAATTGAACATGGAAATTGCATAATTGATTCATACTGTTCAAGTAACATGCTTTATGAACCATCAAGCTAAAAGACAATATTGATTGAGTTCAAAGCTGAGTTGTGAGTTAATGGGGTTGTCACACTTGTCACTTGGTTGGAATAAAGTACTCACATGGAAGAGATAGATTGTTTTGTTATGCACAACCCATCTCATCTGAATGAAAATATACATACAATATAATCAAACCAAAACATACATACACAACAAATTTATACATAACAATGTTCAAATAATGTACCCACAAAAACGAAATTAATCAGATGAAAAAGGGTTACCCATAACAATGTTCAAATTCGCAACGTGAAAGGTGAATTCGCAACGCGAAATAAGAGTTGCGATAGTCAAATTCGCAATGCTTATTTCGCATTCGCAATGCAAAAGTCAAATTCGCGTCGCGATTTTCGGTTTGCGATTTCACGTTGCGAATTTGATTTTCGCGTTGCGAATTTGACTTTCGCAACGCTTATTTCGCGTTGCAAATTTGACTTTCGCGTTGATCGCAACATACAACATCAAGTTATATACAACATCAAACACATTTCAAGCTATAAATACAAGCTAAGGACACTTGAAGAAGCAAGAGAACAACTATCCAAGCAATCAAACACAAGAGAAAATCCCAACATGATAACAACTGAACATATCATAGCAATGTTCAAACTCAAGTTACTAATAAATGTCTAACTGAAAATGTATGCATTCAAACATAAAATACACATAATACAACGTTTGCATTTAAAAATCACCTAAGTTAATAAGTCCCAAAAGGTGAAGCCGGTTGTGATTGCGATTTTGATTTCCTTTTGCTTGGCACCATATGAGCTTTGGATTTTGATGAAGATCCATTTTTTGGTAGAGGAAAAGATGATTTTGATGACACTGGTGATCCACAGGTCAACCTTGTATGACCACTTTCCTTGCACCGACTACATGTCGATATCTTCTTCTCTTCACCCTTAGACGGTATACGATCGTGAGTTTTTGGTCGGCCA